CATCCAATAATACGCCGACGCCGTTCCCGAACGCCAAGGCGCGCTGCAAGCTCACCCCGAGGAGGAGGAGGAGGAGGAGGAGGAGGAGGAGGAGGAGGAGGAGGAGGAGGAGGAGGGGGACGGGGAGATGGAGGAGACGGATGAAGGGGGGGGAGGGCAGGGGGTGGGGATGAGGGGAGGAGGGAGGATAGGAAGGACGGGAGAGGAAGGAGGGAGGGAGGAGGGAAGAGGGAGGGAGGAGGGCGCGAGGAACGAAGGAAGGAATCACGGGAGGCAAGGGGGCGACAGCGGCGACCCGCCCTTTGGAACGGCCCGGGCAGCCCAGCCATCGTCGGGTGCGCCGGCGCACCACTTGCAGTTCTGGCCCGCCGCGACCCGGGGGCACGAGCCTGGCCGGGGGGGGGGGAAGCCGGGGAGGGAAGGCGAGGGCGAGGCCTCGCCTCCTCGTGCGTGTCCAGAGGGGACAGACAGAAAGAGAAAAAGAGGGAGGGGGAGACAGAGAGAGAGAGAGAGAGAGCGAGCGATAAACAAACATACAAAAAGGAAGAGGGTCGGGAGAGGAGAAACTGAGACAGGCGAGGGGAGGATGTTGAAGGAGACAAGCGCGGGGAGGGTGAAGGAGACAAGGGGGAGGGGAGGGACTGACGGGTCGAGGGCTGGCTGCGTGAGATGTGAGGCGACGAGGGGAGGAGAGGGCGAGGTGGGAGTAAGGCCCTGGGGAGGGGAGGAGGAGGAGGAGGAGGAGGAGGAGGAGGAGGAGGAGGAGGAGGGACGAGGAGGAGGAGGAGGAGAGGTGGCCGATGGGGGAGTGACGAGCTGGGGGGGGAAGCCGACGCAGGGCCAGCATGAGAACGCTGCTCCTCTGTACGCGCTGGCAGCGCGCTGGAGGTCGGGGGCACGAGTCTCGCCAAGTGCGAGCGCCGCTGCGCACGCCCGTGAGAGGCTCCCCTCGGGGCACTGGCGGCTGGGGCGCCCCCCTGCTGCTGCTGCTGCTGCTGCTGCTGCTGCTGCTGCTGCTGCTGCTGCTGCTGCTGCTGCTGCTGCTGCTGCTGCTGCTGCTGCGGCTGCGGCTGCGGCTGCTGCTGCTGCTGCTGCTGCTGCTGCTGCTGCTGCTGCTGCTGCTGCTGCTGCTGCTGCTTGTCCCTGCTCACGCACTCCCTCCCTCCGCTGCCTCCTCCTCGTCCTCCTCCACCCTCCACCTCCTCCGCCTCCTCCACGTCCTCCTCCGCTTCGGCCTCCTCCTGCGCCTCCTCGTCCTCCTGCGCCTCCTCGTCCTCCTCCGCCTCCTCGTCCTCCTCCGCCTCCTCCTCCTCTGCCTCCTCCGCCTCCTCCTCCTCCTCGGCCTTCTCCTCCTCCGCCTCCTCCTCGGGGTCGCACCACGATCCCCCCCTCCCCCCTGGAGGAGCCAGTCTTCTCGACGTCCCAGCACGGCATCCCTCGGCGGCGGTGCGGCGGCTGCCCGTGGGCCCGGGGCGGTGCGGGCCTGCCGGCCAACAAAAAACGACTCCCCTCCTCGAGCGAGCGGCGGGCGGCGGCGTCTGCGGGCGGGGAGGGCCCGCTCCGCGCGCGCGCGGTGCTCGGGCAGCGTCTGGCCTGGGCTGGGCGGCGACCGCGTGGAGGCGGCAGCTCTCGATGCGGCGCGGCTGCGCCGCCAGCCGCCCTCCGCTCCTGTGCCTCCCGCTCCCCCTTTCCTGCCGCCCCTGCTCCCAAATTGTCCTCCTCCCCCAGCTCCTTCCACGGCTGCCCCTCCCGGCTCTCCCTCCCTCCCTCCCTGCGTCTCGTCATTCTCCTCCCCCCACTCCATCCTCGTTCCTCAGGCTTGGCCGCTCGAGGCGAACAGTCAGCTCTTGTGCCCCAGCGCCCTCCTTTGCTCAGGGGCGTGCGGACTGATGCGGCTGCTGACGCAGACTCGTCCCGTCCCCCCTCCCCCTCCCCCTGATCCTCCTCGGATTTCTCCTCCTCTGGGCGTTGATGCCCGTCATGCCTCCGCCGTGGTTGCTGCTCCTACTGCTGCTGCTGCTGCTGCTGCTGCTGCTGCTGCTGCTGCTGCTGCTGCTGCTGCTGCTGCTGCTGCTGCTGCTTCTGCTGCTGCTGCTGCTGCTGCTTCTGCTGCTGCTGCTCGCCTTCGTGGCAGTCCTGCGCAGCAGGCAGGCCAGGCAAAGCCATCCAGACGAGTTGGAGCAGCCAAGTCACCAGACTAGCACGACCATGTCTCGCCATCGCTCGGACGTCCATTCCCCGTGCATGTTTCGATTTCGTGCGTGCATGTTTCGCCAAATGATCAAACATGCTCCTCAATGGTCCACGCCGAGAAAAAATGCACACGTCCGAGCGACGCCAAGATGTACAGTAGCCAATCGATGAACCAGCCAAGGCTAGCCGACCAACCAGGCCAGGACGAGCAGACCAGACCGGGCGAACCGCTCGGCCGACCCGAGCGGGCGAGACCAAGGCCAGTCGAGCGAACCGAACAAACCAAACCTCCTCCTCCTCCTTCTCCCTCCTCCTCCTCCTCCTCCTCCTCCTCTCCCTCCTTCCTTCTCTCCTCTTCCTTTCCTCCTCCCTCCTCCTCCTCCTTTCCTTCCTCCTCCTCCTCCTCCTCCTCCTCCTCCCCCTACCCCTTCCTCCTCCTCTTCTCCTACTCCTCCTCCTCCTCCTGTTTCTGTTTGACGGCATTTGGGGACGATGATCCGCTGCCCGCATGTGAATTCGGGAAAGGCGCACTTGTCCTGATGCTTGACCTTAGGCTCCGACCTGTTGGGCCTCGCAATACGGGTCAAGCGGACAAAAGTAGCACTCTAACGCTTGATCGAGAGGGGGGTGACGGGTCAGGTCGACACAGCTCCGCGGATGGACCTCACCCCTCTCTCGAAGCTCCTGGCAGGCGAACGAGACAAAATGTCGGGCCAGAAACATGCATAACTCGGGAGGCAGATGCTTGTCCGTCTGAGTCTCCCAGCGGCCAATGGCATCGCCTCTCTCCGAAGTGATGTGACCTCTGTGGCTGCAGCGTCCTTTGTTCTCCATTGTGTGGACTTCTCTGCGCACGGAGGGAAGATTCACCGTCAGGAGCATCGTCGGTTTCGTCATTTGCGATCCGAACATACACTGGTCAATCCAGACCGTGTCGACGTTGAAACCCATCGATGACAAGGTCCGCATGTGGCTAGTTTCCTTGAGAAACCAACTCGTTGGGGCAACCCGATTCGACGGGCACGCTGGGTGCTCAAGTATGCCACAGGCACCCGAAGCAAGACAGACGTACATGAAATAAAGCGCAGCACGATATAGATCATTAGCTGTAGAGATCTGAGCCCACTCTCTGGGAGTGGCAAGAGGTCGCCCCCATTCATGCTGTAGAGACCGAAGCGATATATCTCCATGGTCTCTGGGGTCCTCTGTAAATCGTGCTGGCTTCCAGGTCTCGCTGGGGGGGTCTAGCGAACACTCCTATAGCGAGACCTCGGAAAACAAAATCAGCTAGTTGGACGCGGGAATTGTGTATCCTGAGATCGCCGTCGACATCATTCTGTGTGATGTCGATCGATAAAACAGCAAGGGGCCCCGTGGGTGCCTCGAGAGCCTGAAAGAGCTCAACGCAATGCTGAAAATCTTCTCTCCGTCTCTCTCCGCAAAAGAGATGGAGAACATACCTCGTTTCACCTGGCTGAATCCTACGCGGGCTCGGAAGGGCAACCCCTTCGGCCTCGGGGAAACAAACGATGGGGGTGTAGGAGGAGCGGAGCAGAGGAGGCCCAAGACCATCCAGGGCAGAATGGAAGGCGTCACCAGGGTCCTCGGGGCGGGCGGGAACTTCGGCCTCGGTAGCACGCAAGCCCTTGGCCTTCAAGGAGGCCACCAAGGCGCGGTCATCTTCACACAACTCCTTGTATCTCTCGTCAGAATGGGGGGCAATGGTACGACTCCAGAGCTCCAGACACCCAGCGCGGGCATGTCGCAAGTGCTTCAGGAGGCGTGGGCGCGTGACAAAGTCAACTCCACAAGCCAGACATTGCCCAGTCTCGGCGATTCTGCCCGCAGGGTCGTCGTGCTTCTTGGTAATATGAGCACGCATGGCTCCCTCGCGGGCACACACATACTGGCAAGTGTCACAAACGTATTTCGTAACAGGCTCAAGGAGCGGGGCAGAATCGGGCGGCGGAATGGCATGAGCTCTACATATGTTGCCCAAGTCCTTCCTCCACAACTGAAGCCGGTGTTGGTCTGCTTGCCATGTTTTAAAATTGCGTGCGGCGGTCCTGCAGATTCTTTTCCATCTGGCTGGGTCGGCGGCCGCCTGCAACAATAGCTCGCGCGCAGAGAGCGTGCGATCTTCTTTAAAATCAAGGAACTTCTGAAGCCACGTGAGGTCTTCTCGTATAAGCGCGCCCCAAGACTTCTTACAGCGGCCTTCCATATCGAGGAGTTGCCGCAGCTGGGGCGGGGCCGAAGTCATCAGCCTGGCCAGGTACCGAAGCCGCATGAGGCGCAGGACGTCAGGAACAGCGAGCCTGTTGACATCGAGCAAGACCTGCTCGTTGGCAACGTGCGGCTGGTCAGGACGTCCAAGACGAATCCCGAGGATGGTCCTGGAAGGGGCGAGGTGGGCGGCAGCCATAGCTTGCTGTTGATCCCTAGACAGTTCGCCCCAGACGTGGGCATTATAAAGCAACCTCGAAGTACAGAGAGCGTCAACATACTTGGCTCTGGTCTTGATGGGTAGCTTTTTGGCTTTCAAAACCGTCCTGCGAAGGGGCCCGAGACCCGTCTTTTGCTGGGTCCTGCGATGGGCCAACTCGGGGGCCACGGAGCCACTCTGGGCCAACATGGAGCCAAGATACTTGTAGGACCTCTGGAGGAAAATTTATTCGTCGTAGTGGGTAACATAAACCGGGTCAGCAACGGGGAAGAGATTGGCCTTAACATTGCGAGCTCCCTCTCCTCGTGGGTGGACGAGTAGAGCTGATTTGCCTTTTTTGAAATTGATAGTCATGCCTCTCTTGACCGTGGCCTTGCTGACGGTGACAACCACGTCAGACATCGCCTGGGGGAGGCCGGTACCACTTTGAACCGCCGCCATGACGCCGAGGTCGTCAACAAAGCTGCTGTCCGCGAGACAATCTGTCTCAGCGTCCTGTGGCAGAGAAGAGAGAGGGTCCTGCTGGCCGTCTAGCTCAAGCAGGTAGTTCGCACTGCTGAGTTCCTCACGTATTTCACGCACAATAGGCACAAAAAGCAGGTTGAACACAAGGTCAGCAGGCGAGCTGCCAGGTCGGCTGCCTGTGGTGGCACGTATAACTCCTCGGGACCCCTTGGTTTTGAACCAGGTGCTGGTATGAAGATCCGCCAGCATCCTTAACAGGTGAACATTGTCGAGGCCCTCCAAAACAGAGGGTTGCCCGATGGTGTGCTCCAAAATCGGAACGAGGGCCTCGGGGATATCGGCGGCATCGACAGCGTCAGCTATGTCCTGGGGGTCCTGGAGGAAGGGCATGACAACGGGTCTGATAACCTTATAGAACGCTGATTTCAAGTCAATGAACGCAAGCACCGTAGAGAGGCCCTTGGCACAGGAAACAGCCGAGAAAGTGCGGACCATGTGGGTCGCCATATCGGTCCCTTTGCCCTGGGCCCCGCCCATCTGGGTCTCGATGATGAGACCCGCCACAAGCGTTTTAAACTGGTTCCTCAAAAATTTGCGGTGGTGCTTGGCAACATTATTCATGAGAAGGGTTTGGCGATAGCTCTCGTGCATCGCCGCGCTGCCATTGTTCTTATACAGATCATGAGCCCACCCTCCCTTGAAAGCGAGAGGCTCCTGGGTGTGCGTGCCCGCCTTTAAGATGACTGGGTGCAACAGGCGAGCAGTCTCGGTAGGTGCACAGCGCAACAGGTCATCAACGACGTCATCGGGTCCTCCAGCCTTGCCTGAGGTGGCCTGAGAGAATGAGAAACGAAGTTGACCACGGGTCATCAGATTTTCGGCGGGGCAAACGAGGAGGGGGGGGCGATCGCGGTTGTCTTCGCTATAGTTATCACAAAGCCCTTTTTCGGTGTACAGGGTCCCGCCCTCAACACCAGCAAAGTAAGCTTGAACCGAATCGGCAACCTCGGATTTCGTCTGGAGGGGGTCCCCGTCGGGGCCATTGCGGATGGGAAGGGCGCCGCTTTGGAGCTTCATCCTACGTCCTCCGAAAGCCTGAAGGCACCTAGCAATCTGCCATTCGTTCTTGGCATTTCCATCCTCGATGGCCTCGCTCATCTATCTCACTGACCATCCTCTCGAGGGTACCAGTCTTGTCGATGTCCAATTTCTTCTTGAGCAGTCCAGCCGTGGCGGAGAGAAAGCCCCTAAGAGCCCCGTCCCAAGAGTCGAGGTCCAAGAACTCCAAGAAGGCCAAAGCCGCAAGCCTGAGCTCACACAGACGGTCCTCGAAAGAGAGAAGGAGGCTTTGAGCCTCTTCACAACACTCAAAGACAGGAGCTTGAAAGGGCAGGACAAGAGTGTTGGCCCAATTGTACATAGCCTGGGCTTTCTTTTATCAGGGGCAGCGCGAAGTATAGCCTTGTTCTTCCGTCTCCATTTGACGAAATAAAGAATGAGCTGGTCAGTGTAGGGCGTCCTCGGGTGAACCTCCTGGACAGGGAAAGCGGCGGCAGCCGCCCATAGAATCTGTTCCTGGACTTGGCTGTAATGTTTGTTGATGTCGATCGACCAGGGCACCAGGGGAATGCTGCTCAACAGCGACTTGAAAATCGCAACCCTGCGGTGATCTGTGGTAAGCTTGCGGTTATATCTTGGCCTGCCAACCTCGATTCGGCTGCTGTGATCTGGTCTGTCGTGGATTGCCCGCGCCATTCCCAGCGCAGTAGGGAAATGATCACTAACCTCCGTCAAATCATCGAGATCACTCCACACTTGTTCGAAAACGATGGCAGGCACAAAGTGAGGCTTGACGAGGACATAGTCAATCCTGTGATCTGCGCCATTCTTCAAAAAGGTGAAACCGCTGGGCTCAGTGTCCCTGCTCCAGTTGGGGTCAGAGAAAGTGGAGGGGGCAACGAGCCCGAGTTCGCACATGAACTGGTGAAAGCAGGTGCCCGAGACATTCTCCTCCTCCATCCATCCTCCATTCCCCACAGCAGTGGGCGAAATGCTACCAACCCTCGCGTTAGCATCGACCGACACGACGTCGACTGACATCCGTTGGGCAATCGCGGTAGTCTCCTCCCACCACCTCTGAAGAGCGCCAGCGTCGATGGCCCTGCTCTGCGCGTCCTGATAGGGAGCGCGCAGGACCATGAAATTGAAATGAAGTCCTGGCGCGCGGACTTGCACTACAATCCTGCGGATATCCTTGTGCGTGACAAGGAAGTGGCTTTTCTGGAAGTACTTTGGGTGGCCTCGGTGTGTCATGTACGGGAGGGTCAGCGAAAAACAAGCCTCAACCCCAAAGTTTTCCCGTCACCTCCAGAGGCGAGGATGTAGTAACCGTCGGCGGTCCTGGTTCCTTCAGGGGTCCGAGCATCTTGGATTCCCAGGACCTGGATGCCCTGCTCGTGAAACTGCTTCCTAACAAGTTTGGCATTGTGCCGACGATGCTGTCCTTGGTATCCTCGAGCATAGACATAGCGTTGAAAGTAGCAACATTGAGAGTGAGATCACCAGCCATTTCCTTGGGGGGGTCGGGCCCTCCTTCAAACCCAAGGGGCAGATAGTGATGTGGGTATCCCGTCGCATATGTGCGCACGGGGGTATTGAAACAAAACTGGCCATCATGTTCGGTGATCTCTGGATACGCGCTGCGATCGGCTTCCAGCTCGGTAACCCATGACCAGGGATCTCCCACCGCAGGGGGTCAAGAGCTTCGCCCAGTCTGGGTCACGAACTTCGGAGTCCGTTCGTCTGCGTTTGGAGAGACCATCAACTAACTCGTTCCAGGGGTGGGCCTTGTGGGACGGGACATGGCGGAAAGTGAGGTCGTACCTCGCCCGCAGGTCAACGACGAGGTGTCGCAACATGGCGCCAAACTCGGGGTGGGCAGAGGACTGAGCAGATCCTTCGGCAATCTGGGTCGCAGATACGGAGTCAGAGTCGATGACAAAACCCTCAGCCTCGTGCTGTCCGAGAAGCCCGATCCAAAGCAGAGCCCAAATGATACCCCCCATCTCAGGGGCAGTGCTGCTGAAACGAGTGGCATCTAAGAAAACGCCGACGGATGAGAGAACCTTTCCTGTCCTAGCCCCTAGATATGAAAAGGCCCCTGCTCTGTCCTTGGCCACCGCGGCCATCGCCCAGGCCGCGGTGGCGGGGTCCTGTTCGTCGAAGGACCCGTCGACGAAGATTGAAATCTGGCCGGCGACGTGCTCGCTAGTCGGGCACATGTCGAGGCCAAGCTGCGCGTGGGCGTGCAGGCCCACTCTGTTGACATCTAAATCAAGGTCTATCTGGCACCCTTCCTGTTGAAGGCGTGTGAGCAATCCCATCTGCCCCAAATTATATCTGATCGAGTCGGTAGGATCATCGCCCACGATCGCGACCTCGATCGGAATCCGACTGTCGAGGTCCAGGACTTGCGGGCCAGTGCGGTCACTAGTCCCCGAACGCCCCTGGGAACCTGGGGCCTGCACCTCCGAACTACCCAACCCAGCATCGGGAGGAGAGGAGGAGACGGGGGAGGGATCATAGAAGTGAAAAGGCACAGTCGTGGCGAAAGCGACCTTGGATCTGGGCCGGTCGAATTCAGCGCGGGAGCGCTGGGGGGGCGGTATTTGCTCGCTAGAGTCTACATGCATGCTGCTGGGTGTCGGGCTCTCCCCATCCGACACCCTCTCATGGCCGTGTAGGCTCAGTACTCGCTCTCCGCGTAGGGGTCCATCTGGGCGGCGTCGCTGCTCGGCACTCTGTGATCCTCTGCTGCCTTGGCGACCGCCTCGATGTCCGACCGTCTCTGAGGCTTGCGGAAGGCTGCCATTGCCGTCCTCGACTTGACCTTGTCGTTGGCAGGGCGCCTGGAGGACCCTGGCGCTCTCGACCTCTGGGCGCGCGTGCTTGGACTCCTCGATGCTGAAGTCCTCTGGCTGCTGCGCTGTCTTGGCCCTAAGGAGAACTGTCCGCCCTCCGAGCCGCTCTCGATGGCCGCGGCCCTCTCCTTCACCGTGATCCATCCCGCGGGCGTGTCCTGAACCGTGGTCTCCATCAGCGGGATCGGTGTACACGGCTGTGTCGGCGTCAGTGATGGTGGTGACCTGGGAGCCGCGGTCGGAGTAGCATGAGGCTGGGGTGTCGAAGGCGCTGGTTGATGTCCAGTGGCCGTCGAACCCGTCGCTGATGACCGTATCGTATCTCGCATCATCATGGCCTCCATCATCTGTTGCATCTGCATCATCTGATCTGCCATGGGCTTCAGGTGTGCCTCGACCTGCATCTGGACTGCCTGCTGGATGCTGGCGCAAGACGGAGCCGTACCTGTAGTGGACGCCGCAGGTGTCGATGTTGGTGTCGAGGTCGTGCATGGAGGGGACTCCACTGTGGGGCGCTCGGGGAATACCACCACGCCCTGGCACGGCTTGTCCTCGTCCATGTCCGTGCCGCTCTCCATTTCCTTCTGCTGCTTCTCTGCCTCCATGAGCTGGTGTATCTCCGTCTTGGTGCGCTTCAGCGCGTCCAGCTGATCCTGGAGGTTGTCTCTGACGTTGATCTTCGCCTGGAGGTGGTCCTTTAGCGATGTGACTTCGTTGTTGGCTGCCTCGACACGCAACATCATCCTGGCAATTGTGGTCTCTGTCCAAGCGCTCTGCTGGTGTAGGCTTTTCTCCGATATCAGCATTCGTCTCAATATGGAAATCGACGTGGCCAGCTCTTGCACTGGCTCTCTTATGGCCCAGGCTAAGTTGTACCTTTGCTGGAGCAGGTTCAACCTGGAGCGTATCTCTCTGTAGTACTCTTTCTTCTCTGACTCCGTGGCACGCGTACTCAACAGACGATAGTCTGGATGAGCCTGTGCTTCTGCTGGAGTCGCCATCCGTACATATGGGGTACCGTTGGGCTTCGCTTCGTCTTCCCATGGCCGAGATTATGATGTCGATCTCTGGGATCTCTGGCTCTTCTGGCTCTTGGATCTCTGGCGGCCTTTGTGGTTGTTGGTGCCGTTCTCTTTTTTTTGAAGACTTCCAATGACTGTTGCACTTGACGCAATTCACCGACGTATTCCAGTTCTGCTGCCCGCATCTGCACTGCCATGCGCACGTCCATGGCGCCATCAACGGAACCTTCTGACTGGGGCTCCGCAGCGGGAGCAGAGAGGATGAGGAATGTGGTGAGCCTGGCAAAGCACTTGGCCAGGGCGGTCGTGATGCCTAGGAGCGCTCTGCTCCAAATCTCTGGGCCGTGCTACGGACGGGCCCAGACCTAATCGCTGATTCTCGGGCGTCTATAGCCCTTCACAACGTTTAAGTCTTGAGCCAAAATGGCTACGGTCCCTCCTCTTCCTCCTCCTCCTCCTCCAAAGGAAACACCTGCGAGACCACAACGATGAGACCAACAAACCGTGATCGGACCCA